GTCTATTGTAAAGCATGACATTGGATGAAAGGAAACGTAAAATCTCCCGTTTAAATCCTTATTCATGAGATGGCCTTCCCTCACTTGAGCTTGTGGGTCAAACTCATAAAAATCTTAGGCAAGAATATGAAATTAACTGTCCCTATGTTGGTAGAATCCAATAGTGTTTGGTAGAAATAGATGTGAATACTGACAAGACTTACATTTGGCGATACCAATATGTTGTTGTGTGCTGTCAAATCAGAATCAACTCATAGCTGCTCCTCTACAGGGTTTTCAGAGGCAGTGCAAACACACAGAAGGAGACTGCTCATCTCTCTTGTGTGAAGCAGCTAGTGAATTTAAACCACATGCCTGTGGGATGGCAACACAGCTCCTTACCAGTAGACCACCAGAGCCCTACCAATATAGGGCTCAATAAACACTAATGGAGAAAATACCCCAAATGCAAAGTTACAGCTAAAATTCATAAAATACATGATGAACCTAAACACCTGGAATGAAAGAGTGGAAACAACAGATGGAAAATTACACACAAAGATATCTGATGTTGAAATGACAATCTCAATCTCCTCTCCATCTATTATGATGATGCCAGTTGATCCAGTGGTGAGAACCTTGGTTTTCTTGATGTTGAGTTCCAATTCATATTGAAGATTGCAGTCCTTGACCATCTGCAGCAAATATTGCAGGTCTTCCTTAGTTTTGGAAAGCAAGGTTGCATTATCTGTACAGTGCAGTTTGTTGATGAGTCTCCTCCAATCCTTTTCTTGTTGTGTACCATCAAATCAGATCCGACTGGCACAGGAGATTGTTCCTCTTTCAGCAGAGCATCTGGTGCATTTGAATCGCACACTTTTGGGATTGCAGTGCAGCTTCTTTGCCACTAGGCCACCAGAGCCCCCTGAGTCTCCTCCAATCCTAGTGTCATATTCCTTCCCATAAAGTCAAGCCTCCTGAGTTAACTGTTCAACATATATATAGATTGAAAAATTATGGAGACAGGAGGCGTCCCTGACACACTCACTTCCTGATTTTGAACCATTCAATGATTCCCTACTTTGTTCTAATGATTGCTTCCTGGTGCAAGTATAGGTTTTGCATGAGCATAATTAAGTGTTCTGGGATTCCCATTCTTTTCAATGCTAACAACAATTTGTTGTGATCCACATAGTCAAATGCCTTTGTATAGTCAATGAAATACAGATAGACAATCTGGTACTGTCTGCTTCCTCCCAAGATCTATCTTACATTGATTATGATGTCCCTAGTGTCATGGCTTCTTCTAAACCCAGCTTACAATGTACTGTTCCAGAAGTATTTGGATAATCTTCAGCAGGATTTTGCTTGTATGTGCTATTAGTGGTATTGTTCGATAATTTTTATACTCTGTTGGATCACGTTTTTTTAGAAAGGGTATAAATATGGATCTTACCTGTCAGGCTGTTAGGTAGCTGTCCTTCAGATTTCTTGATGTCCAGGGCTGTATCTGTGTGTTGAAATATGTCAAATGGTATTCCCTCAGTTCCTGGGGCCTGTTTTCTGCCAATTTCTACAGAGCATCTTGACCTTCATCTTTTATCAGCATTGCCTTTTAGTTACATTTTGTTTCATGAAATTCTTGTGTGTCAGGCAGTTCTTTTTGGTATGGTGACTTTGTGTACTCTATCTTCACTCTGAGAAGAATGGGAATCCTAGAACATTTAATCGTGCTAATGCGAAACCTATACTTGGACCAAAAGGCAGTCGTCAGAAAAGAGCAGGCCAACACTGCATGATTCAAAATTGGGAAGGGTGTACGCCAGGGATATGTCCTATCTCCATACCTTTTCAACCTGTATGCAGAGCAGATTATCCGAGAGCCTGGGCTCTATGAGGAGAAACGTGGCGCTAGGATTGGTGGAAGATCTATCAACAATCTGCGTTATGCAGATGACAGAACCCTGCTTGCTGAAACTGAGGAGGACCTCATGCACTTACCGCAGAGGGTCAAGGACTGCAGCCTTCAGTATGGACTGAGGCTCAATGTCAAGA